AATTAAGGTAGCAAAAGATTAGGATAGGATAAGATAGGATAAGGTTTGGATAAGATAAGGTTGTTTGGATAATGTTCTATGTTTCTTGCTTCTTCCTTATCTCCTTTGTCTTGAACTTGTTTATCCAGATTTGTAGCATGTTCCTAGCCTTTTTTGACTTGAAATTCATCCACCCACCTTGTTCCATATGCAAGCTATCCATTCTATGCCCAAAACTGCTCCAAATGGCTCCAAAATGCACTTTCTTGCCTACTTTGCCATTAGGACCTACAAACACACGAAAATAGCTTAAAATGCTATAATAAGTAGTAATTAGCTCACTAAATGCAAGAAAACAACATAGCTAAGTAACATAAATACGCTCTTATCAGCGGCGCTATTGGCACATAAATGGCGCACCCAAACACCCGTAAATGCAAGACGTCATACTCGTATCCACTGACCAACTGTAATGGTGAATGTGGTTGGGTAGCGGTGGGCCTCAGGCGGACCAACATAGCTGCGTGCAATATTGGATAGCCCCAAGCAGATACTGGCAGTTTAGTTCGCATAACCAAAGTCCAAGCTATCAATTAAATGCGCTTTATGAAAGCTCCTGCCATGCCATTTTGGGTGTGAATATAGGGCACATGATGTTCCACATCAATCCTTACTGACATGCAATAATCGTCAAAAGTCTGTGACGTAAACTCTCCAGCATTATCCAGTTGAATCGACTTAATCGGATAATCAGGGTGGTGAGCCCTTCTCTTAATGATTTGAGCTAGAAGTTTAGTAAATGCGGTGTTGCATGTGGACAACAAGCAAACATGTGACCATCTTGTTGATGCATCAACCAACACCATAAAATATTTAAATAGTCCATAAGTTGGCTGGATAGGTCCACGAATGTCCCCTTGAATCCTCTGAAGAAATTTAGGGAGGTCATGAATAATCTTTGTATGGGAAGGTTGAGTATTCAACTTCTATAAAGAACACGACTTGCATGACGGAAATCCAACATAGGGATGTAACTTATGCTCGTGAGAAGATTTGAGGATACAACGCATCATGTCACGTCCAGGATGTCCAAAACGATCATTCTAAAGCAACAAAGTGTCCTGGAACTTAGGCATATGGCCGGCCACATCGTGGGCTTCTATGCCGCGAATGGTTGTGATGCATAACCCACTCGACAGACGTTCCAACTTCTTATGAATATGCTTCTGGGCATATTCGTATGAAATGATACAAAGAAGTTCAGAACCATGATCTTCAGTGGTTTCAAGATGATATTTATTATCTTGAATATCTCTAAAACTTAGTAACGTTCTGCCGGAACGTGGAGAATAGATTGCCTCTTTAATGGTCAAGTTTGTACCATTAGACAACATGATACGTGCCTTTCCGTATCCTTCAATCAGGTTAGATAGGCCTGAGACAGTTGTCAAAGGAGCTTTCTTGGGTATTGATAGTAAAATAGTTTCGTTCACACAATATGGTGTGTGTGGTTGCACTATCTGCGAGACAACTAGCGTCCCCACTAGACATACCTAGAAATAAATTGATTGAACTGGTCAAATGCAAAAATATAAGTCCATTCATTCAATTAAGCAAATCGAGAGAATAATATCCATTCAAATAATAATCCATAATTCCAAACAAACCAAAACCAAACAAATTATTCCAAATACATAGAAAAGTTGTTCAAAATTAAACCATAAACCTAACAAAAGAGGGGGTTAGGGCCAGCCACTCCTAGTGGGTTCGGCCATTAGGGGTAAAACACCCTAAAAACATGTTTAATTTATTAATCCATAGGCGCTGATACCTCCTGAAAGTCCGATATCTCCATGGATGTAGTTGCATCTCCTGGATGGTCCACATGTGCAAAGTTAGACTCATGACGAGAATGATACTTGGCAATAGCCTCAGGAGAAGCTCGGCATACGTGTGACCAATGATCCTGGGATCCACAATGATATCACATGTCTAGTTCAGTAGAAGCAGCCTGAACGGTAGCTTTGCCCTTGTTCTTGAAGTTTGGGGCCTTAGGGGCGAGTGGTGGACGCTATTGGATCACATTTTTTCCCTTAGGTGCGGCATTCTGTTGACCTTAGGCCCGTGGTTGGGCTTACCACCCATTGCCACAGCCATGAAGATTTTTTCGTCGTCTATGGCTATTAGAATTGGTCACATGCACTTCAAGCACGGCGTTCGAGCCTATGGGTCGAGCTTAATGATTCTTCATCAAAAGTTGGTTCTGATTTTCAGTGAGAAGTAAAACAGAGATCAAATTCGAGAACTTGGTGAATTTCTGTGCCCGATATTGTTGCTGCAGGATAATATTGGTTGCATGGAAGGTCGAATAGATCTTCTCCAGGAGATTTGATTCGGTTAGTTCCACTTTGCAGAATTTCAACAAAGAACAGATTCTACAAACTTCAGAATTGTATTCATTCACGGACTTAAAGTCTTGGAATCGAAGATGCTACCAGTCGTGTCTTGCTTCAGGCAAGTATATGTCTTTCTGGTGATCGAAACGATCGGCCAGAGCAAGCCAGAGGGTGTGTGGGTCCTCCTCAGTGAGATACTCAGTCTGCAGTGCATCATGGATGTGTCTTCGAATGAAAATCATTGCAGTAGCCTTCTGAGCTTCATCAATAGGTTTGTTGGGGATAGGTGCCTCGATGGTGGCTCTAATGCCCTTTGCAGTGAGATGGAGCTTCACGTCTTGAACCCATTTCAGATGGTTTCTTCTAGATACTTCTAGAGCGGAGAAATCAAGCTTGTTCAAGTTCGACATGTCCCTAAAACGGAGGGAGAAAACGTGATTAATCATATGGTAGGCCATATACATATATCGTAGAACATACAGGTTCTATAGACATGTAGTGGTTTAATTTATGCATGAAAACTACGGGTTTCATGTGGTATGTTTTGAATGAAAACTTCAGGTTTCAAAGACATTAAATTTGAAACTACAGGTTCAATTTAGTTTTTATGAACAATTAGTTCATAATGAAAGGTTCCTGCAAGAAACACAGAATGCAATATGCTGATTTAAGTATAGTGGATTTGAGTTTCTTCGGGAACTCAAGTGTGAAAGCTTCATTACTACGAAAGTATATGACGGTTCAAAGTATAAAAATAAATTATTGAATCCTTAACGTCCAAAACTGATCTTCAAGTCAATAATTTTGGATTCATTATCAAATTAATGGACTACAGGTCACTTTTGATTAATTCAATAAATCGGGCCATATCGGGTCGATTGTAGAAACAAAATAATATTATTGGATCGAAAATGTAGCCCCAAAATAATATTGGGCTTGGTGTTGTGGGTTAAGTGGCATGGGTTTGGGTGCCTTAAGTATAAGGCAAGGTCGAAAAGACCTCGGGGGTGGGCTACATGCACATAGGTGAGGGAGAAGCCCCAGCCGCAGTTGGGTTGCAGTTTGGGCTGAAGGGGGTGCATGAGACAAGGCCCAATAGGTGCTGGCCTTGTAGGTGATGCATGGGGGAACAAAACCCAACCCCAGGGGCTGGCGTGTAGGTTTAAATGGGAGCCCAGCCACATAGGCTGGCTTCTTGTGTTGTGAGCCGCAAGGAAACAAGGCCCAATCGAGTGGGCTGGCACCAAAGAGAGCAGGTTTGCAGGCCTGGATGCACGCGGGACAAGGACCTAGTAAGCAAGGCTTGCCCTATGAAGGCTGCAGGCCTCCTCAGTGATAAAACTAGGGCTGCAGGCCTATTCTAATTAATCAGGCCGAAGGCCTAGGGTCCAAGTAGGTGCATCAAAGCCCAGAGGGCTGCTATCGATGTTGTGTCGCAGGGGTGGTGCCATCCAATGTCCAATTTCCTCTTTTTTTTTTTTTTTTCTTCAAAAAAATACCCTTAGGGTTTAGGAAACCCTAAATATGCTTCTAATTTATTTTATATAATTTGACTCATAAATTCCACATAACAATTTAATTGTGCGATGCATGAAACAAATATATATATATATATTGAAAAATATATGAACATATACAATATATATCGGAAGGAAAATGTAAACATAGGGGGGGTTCATGCATCATAATGCTTTGTGGACGTTTCAAATATCTTTTTATTTTTATTTTAAGCGTACCTAATTAGCAGAAAATGAATAAGCCTTTTAATGTGGTGGATGATAGCCTCCTCGTATGATGCGTCAATTCCTCAGCTTCTGGCAAGAATGTGCTGATAACATATTGTAGGCCTATTTGATTGAACGATCTAGGGTTTAGAGAGAGAGAGGGTTTGGCAATATTGAGAGAGAGGAGAGATTGATTTAATTGCGAAGTATGTTTGATCCACCCCATTATGCCTTTATTTATAGTCGTGGAAATGGTAAAATCTTTCCCTTTATGATTACAACATTTAATAGGTAATCTAATCATAATAGGAATATATAATACTTTCCCAGATTCCCTAGGATTTATACAATCACATTCCTATTCTAAATATGACCGCAACAATTACTACGTTTTGGTGATATTTCTCCTTATTTAAAAGTGAGAGGTTTTAGGTTCGAATCTCATGCATGACGAATTTGATACTAAGTTAAGCTGTCCATTGTGTGGTTTAGTCGAACTCCCCTCTCCTTAGTGTAAAAATATTAATGTACTACAGAAAAACCCAAAATAATAGTGAATTAATTAATGCAAAATAAATTTTAAAATTAGTTAGGCTTTTTTTTGTTGAAAAATATCAACACTAAATAAAGGAGTGCACTAATCCTTATAATAAGCTTACCATTAGAATATGATCCAACTTCGTTTTTTGCGATAATCAAACTTGAGACCTCTTAGGGTTAGTTAGGTTTAAATCTCAAAGAATTATGCTAGGAAACTAAAATTTTAAATTAAATTTATAAACCAAATAATATGGTTGTTAATAATTGAATTATTATTTAATATTTGATTAACGTGATTATTTTTTAGTGGGATACCGAAATGGCCAAATAATTTCCCAAATTCTCAAACCGAGGTCTATGAGTGGTAAAACGTTTTCAAAACCCTTCCTCTCTCTCTTTCTCGCCTTTCTCTCACCGGATGCTCGCAAAACCCTAGCCCTCGCTCCCTCTCTCCCGTCCCTCTGCAACATTAAGGCTTTGATTCCGCTATATATATATATTGCCCTAGAACGTCTATCTATCGTATAATATTTGGGTTTTTCCGTTATCTTTTATTGTTTTTGAATTTTGAATTCGAGGCCGAAGGTAGAGTGAGAGAGATGGTCGCCGGGTCGCGAATTGAAGGTGGGACTCAGATAATCTCAGCAGGAGTGAGAAAAACGATTCAATCCATTAAGGAAATAGTGGGTAATTACTCGGATTTTGATATCTATTGGGCTCTCAAAGAAACCGACATGGATCCTAATGAAACCGCCCAGAAATTGCTCAACCAAGGTCTCTGCCTTTCACTCTGTTTTGCATAGTTCTGTGGCTTTATAGCTTTGTTTGGTGATTTTGTTGTTGTTATTCTGTTTTGGGTAATGAATGTATCTTTCTAATTTTCGATTTGGGGTTATCTTTGTGGTTACTGAGTCCATTGTTCGGTGTTCTAATTGTTATTGCGTTTGGTTATTTTAGTTAGTTATTGATTTTAGGGTTGTTTTGTGGAATGTGGCACTCGTGCTTTATTATTGAGGTCTTGTCATTGTAAAGATTCTGTCCTTGGTTCGTTTTTAGGAGCTAATTGATTGAACTTGTTTTCGGGTGAGTTTGTGACTGTGAGTGGTGAACCAAGTTTGATTGTGTTAGAGTAGTATTTTATGGTTGCCTTGGCGATATTCCCTCATTACCTCTAAGTAGTTGAACTTTTGGGAGTTGGTACATGGGTTTGGTGAAACCCTATAGATAGAACTGATATTTTGATTTTTGGTAACCTCAGTGTTGTTTTTCTTTTTTGTGTATCTCCTTCCATTAGAAGTTCCTTTTTGAGCAATATTTTCACATATGTACATATTACATGCTTCCCTAGAACTTTTGAAGCTATATTAGAGAAATTGTATTTGCTTTATTTTCTCGAGACCTATCAACACAATTTCTCATTGTAGATTGTGTAATACCATTATCTGTCATTTTTCATGTACCAGTTCAGTTTCTTACTGTGAATATTCTCGTTTGTTTTTACCCAGAACCATTTCATATTGTGAAGAGAAAAAGAGACAAAAGGAAGGAGGTATCCTCTAATGTAAGTTTTGGTTTGCCTTTGAATTACTCTTCATTTTTCTTGTGGCTTCATTTCCCACCTTTAGCTTTATATATTTTAGCATGGTACATGTGACTAAGATCAAGTGAACAGTAGTTCATATGCAGAATTTATGTTCTGCATGAAGATCTTAACTCTTTTAAGAACTGGTGTAATGATGCATGGTTAAATACTTTTGAGGTTGTGGCTTCCTGTACCGTACAAGTCATTGGTCAATACTCAATAGTGACAGGCATACTTTAGTGTACCGCTAATCTACCGGTTCTTGTTTGACTAATCAAATTCATGATCTTTTTGGCAAAGTGACCCAGAAAAGTGGTAATTAACATTGTGCTGCTACCAAGGATTTTATGTTTCTATGAAATGAATGCCTCCCATGAAAAAGAATACTGCTATCTATTAGTCTATTTGGATATGAAAGGCCTTTGGCACTCAATTAATGATCTGCAGAGTAATTCTGTGTCATGTGTTTCATTTCATCAGTAATTGGTGACTCTTCTAACTAAGCTTGTTACGACTTCTGTCAACTTTGAAGACATTGTAACTGCTTTCGAATGATCACATTGTAAAATTGTTATTATTATTTTTTTATTGGTTAGTTGTTTGGGAGATAGTCGTGGTGTTGAGGGTCTCACTAAGTTTATATTTATTTACCACAATCGTAATTTTTTTATTTTTATTTTTATATTGAATCACATTTCAATAGTTCTAAAGGGAATTTGTTGCAATGCAAAATTTTTACTGGTTTACTGTACGTGGCTTTAGAGTAATGGGCTGGTTCCTGTGGATGCAAGGAGACATTTTGAGAGTGCAGGCCAAGGACCCAAATCAAATACATCCTCTGATCGTCCCCCTTCTCAAAATACAACTTCTGATCGTCCTTCATCTCACAGTACATTTTCTGATCGTCCCTCATCTCACAGTACATTTTCTGATCGTAATGTTAGAAGAGGAGGTTATGCTCGTGGCGGTTCAACTGGTAATTCATATATGTCCTGATTTATTACAAGCTTTTTAATTCCTCTTTTGGAATATTCCTTTTGGTTAATTTTACTGTAAACAAAGCTTCATGATTCTTAATTATTGTCTTTTTTCAACTAGCTCTTTTGTTCGTGTGCCTAGTTGTTGAAATCATGAAAGGAATAGAGATTTTTCAATTGGCTCTGATAAATACCTTATTCCTTCTTAGTGTTAACTAGGTTGATTGCATAGAAAAAGATATATGTAGGCTTATGTTTCATTGTTCATTGAGAAACATTGTATTGGTTGCTTGATTTGCTAATTTGCTCTAGTTGGATTTCTTTTTTTTTTTTTTTTTTTTTTTTTGCAAAACCACCGTATCACTTTTATTGTATATTTAATTAATCTAGTACTACGATGTTTAGGGATTTCCTGTACAAAAAAAAGTAGTATTGATGAAAGTGGATGCATTATAGATGAGTGCTCTTTTATATTGCTGAAAGGAAACCAGTATCTAGATTTAGGAAGTGCAGGGTATATTTCGCTCGGGTTCATGCTTCTTTGTTACCAAAGTTTAGGGGATGAGGGAACCACAGACTATACAGAGACTGACACAAATGTTTTATGATAAAACATAAGGTTTTCATGTTGCAAATGGATCAAGAATCGTTAGGAGTGGGTAATGAGATTAGTGAATAAGTGGATTGCACATTTTTCAAGCAAGGGTAGATTTAAGAAGGGTTACTGGTTAATGGGAAGGGTAGATTTAAGAACGGTTTACTGATTAATGGGAAGTTGGAGATAAGTGGTGTGATGGATTAAAAAAGCTTCAAGTCAAATTTGACAATATGACTGAGAATAGACTTTAGTAAAAGAGGTCCTGTGCCTGGAACCAGTGATGAGTGGTCAGACAACTTAGTAGCTTTGAAACTAATGAATGAAATCCTCTGCCGGTGAATATAATACATTATGACAATCGCAGGGTAACATATTCAAAGATATTACCAAGAAAAGAAGGTAAACTAGAAAAATTTGCGAACTATTGTGCTGTCTCCTATTCAACGTTAGTTGGTCAAGGCTTGAAAACAGAGCATATAAAAGATGTCCTGTATGATATGGCAGTGGCTTCCTTGAATCTTTCAAAGCTGGAGAAAGTGTTCATGGGAGCGTGACATATGGAACTGTATGCTGGTCTCTGAGAATTAAGACATGGTTCATGACAAAGAATTTGGAGGTCCCTTCGGACATAACTGAGGGAAGCTAATCCTTTATCCCTTCTAATAGTTCAAGCACTGTTATTCTGTAAGAGCAAGCTGGAGCTAACTGAGATCGGCAAATGTGGTGTTGCTTTATTGAACACCCTGCTCGCAATTTCTCTCAAGTTGGAGTCTATTTATATATGTAATGAATGCTAAGATGTCAACTATGGTGGCTAGATTGTGATTTTTGTGCTCCTCAATTTCTAGTGATTCAGAACATTTGAGAAAATAGGCGATGCTTGTTTAGAATATTTAATACCAGTAGAGAACAATACCTTTTTCATTTTCAACTGAAGCTAGGATTAAGGTATAGAGGTGTGAAACAGGTTACGGTCAATTTCGATCAATGTGGTGATAAGAGAAAACTACTTTCTAGTTAATATTAGACTTCTGTTGGTGGCAAGAAATTTAGCTATAAAGCTGAAGTGGGTAGCACTGCAGCATGGGGAAGTATGTCGGTGTCATGAAGTTGGTGCTATAAGCTCAAGATTGAAGATGAAGAAAGTGGTGGAAGAGGATAATGAGGAACCTGAACTGTTGATTCTGGTAAGAGCTCCATAAAGTCCAACTTTGTAATACTTGCTGCACCCGAAGGAGTTGTTGGAAGAAAAAAGTGCTTTTCCTTTTACGGAAAAGCATTTGAAATGGCACTTTGGGCACTTGCGTGATTGTGCAATTCGGATCTTTAGGCCTAGAGGGTTAAAGGCAATTAGAGGGCCAATCTGAAACTGATTTTGTTTTCAAGTCAATGACAAGGGCAAATCCATGTCTTTTGTCAACCTGGCCGCTGTTTTGTTAATATAATATCTTCTAAAGAAAGATTTTGAAAATTGTTTCTAATAGAAGCATTGAACTGGTGTTTTGGTAATATAATACAAAAGCTACTGAAAATAAAGGGTGGTTGAGTGGTAGGGAAATTATATAGTTTTGTAGTTTTTATAATATAAGTGTTGCCAAATTAACAAAGGTAATTTAGAAATGGAAGATGATTATTTTGTTGTATTATAAAGAAGTTGAGGGTAAATATCCAATAAAGATCAAAACCATCAATAGCTTTTAAAAAGAATCTCCCAGGCCTAGATCAGGCTTTGTATGGCCATGTTCTACTGCCATGTTCATTTAGATAACCTTTTGCAACTTGTGTTTTCAAGGAAATTTTTCTGTAGTGTTTCTGGCTACTTTACCTCTGTAATGTTCCTTTGAATTACAGCTAATGATAGACACTGACTAGGTACAGGAATCAGCAGAGAATTCCGTGTTGTGAGAGACAACCGAATTAACGGTAATGTCAATAAAGAAATGAAGCCTGCTTCACCACAGTGTACAACTTCCACCAATGAGCAAGCATCAAATGATTCTGAAAAGGGGTATTTTTTTTATCCTTTTATCTTGTGTGTCTTTATGTGTGTAGCCACGTATTGTTCTTGGCTATATGTCTATGCCTTGCCATAGAATGCCACAAGTTATTGTTGTATAAACCTAGAGGAAACTGAGTTTTGTTAAGTAACATTTGAGGTTGCTGTTTCTGAAGACCCTTAGTTTCAGGGTTATTTGTATTTAGGACTTTTGGTATTTATACAAATTTTCCTGCTTTTTTTTTTTAGTGTTGAAAAGTATGTATTTGTCTTTGCTGTGTTATTGCTGCATTAACTTATGATGATTGTTGTACTGTGCTTTCAGCCAAACAGCAAGTTCAAATAGTCAAAAGCCATCTAGCAGACAAAATTCGTCTCATGGATTGAATGGGCAAACTCGAATTAGAAGCAGTGGTGCTAATTCAACTGGTAATGTTAGAACAGAGACATTAGTGGAGAAGCGAGTCACTCTTCCAAATGTAGCTTCCCGGGTGCAAGCTGGGAAGCCAAACAATTCCCAACCACACTCTCCAGTGGTGGTATCGAGCAACTCTGTTGTTGGGGTGTATTCATCTTCCACAGATCCTGTTCACGTGCCATCTCCTGATTCCAGACCAGCTGCTTCTGTTGGTGCTATTAAACGAGAAGTTGGTATTAGGAGGCAAGCTTCTGGCAACTCCAAGCCATCTGCTCCAGGCATCTCTGTGACTTCTGTCTCAAATTCACTTTTGGGAAAAGAGGGTTCTACTGAGTCATTTCGACCTTTCACTGGAATCTCTAAAGCTGATCAAGTGAGCCAAACTTCTGAGTCTGTGATACCTAGCATGTTGGGCAACAGACCGTTGTTAAGTAATCAGCACAACGTCAGGCCACACCCACCACCTGTGGGACATCAGAAAGGTAATACTTGCTTTAATTATGGACTTTAAATTCACTCCTCTTAAAATAAAATAATCTGCATACAAATTCTATAATAACAGAGTTAAAGCATATATTGTCTGTTCATGTTAGAAAAGCTCACTAATTGGAATGGTCTGTTAGTTTGTTTTGTGGAGTTTTCATTTAGATTCTAAGTTTCAGGGTGATTTTGCTGTTTATCCTGTTTCTGTTTTTACTTTGTGGACGTCTTGTCCACCCTTGTATTTTTATTGTTCTGTGCAAAGTGCAATAAAAATTTGTCTCTCTTTTCAAATAAATAAATTAAATATTTTTGTGCTTTTGTTTGAAATGTTTTGTCTTCACTTTTGAAGCCTGTGAGTCATGTCTTATTGAAAATTTTGCAAGTGTAATAATCATGTTTCCGGATGCAGCTTCCCAGACTAATAAGGAGTGGAAACCTAAATCAAGCCAAAAGCCAAGTTCTAGCAGTCCTGGAGTCATCGGAACACCAACAATGTCTATTTCACTTGCTTCTGGTGATTCTAAGGTTTCAGAGTCAGAAGCTGCTAAGTTGCAAGATAAGCTCGCGCTAGTAAATGTATATGATAACTGTAATGTTGTCATAGCACAGAGTATTAGGGTCCCAGACAGTGATCGTTTTCAATTAACGTTTGGAAGCTTGGGGACAGAGCTTGATTCAACAGGGAATATAGTTAATGGATTTCAAGCTGGAGATACAGAGGAGTCAAACAGGGAAGCTGCAGCAAGGTGGTGTTATCTAATTATAGCAAGTGATGAGTTAACTTTGCTGCGACATACCCCTCATGCAGTTTTTGAGAAATATGTTTGCAGTTAACATCTGTTGGCATCCTAGCTTGTCTGACTTATAAATGATTCTATTGTGCAGTTTGTCAGTATCAGCTCCAGAGTTGTGCAGTGATGAGGCTTCTGGTATCAAGCCGGTGGATTTATTAGATCACCAAGTTAGAAGTTCTGGCTCTGAATCCCCAGTATCAGGTGCAATTGCTGAGCATCAATTGCCTGAGAAAACAGAAACTTCTAGTCCCCAGAATTTGGGCAATTATGCAGATATTGGTTTGGTTCAAGACAACAGTTCATCCTATGCACCTTCCAATTCACAGCAGCAAGATCCATCAGAATTACAAGGTTTTTCGGTGAGTACACTAGTCAGACTAGTGTCGCCTTTGTTGGATGTAATTTCATTTGCCAACCATTGTTTTCTGATAGTTTTTAAATTTGATTAATGGTGTTTTCTGGAGCTTTATTTTTTTATATAATAATAAAAGCCCTTCATTGGGAAGAAGTGATTGCATGTTGTGACATATATTGACATGTTCTTGAATATTCATTCTGTCTTCTGTTTGGAAGCAGGCATTTGATTCTCAGACTGGTTATGACATACCTTATTTCAGACCAAATATGGAGGGAAGTCATGGACAGGGTCTACCTCCTCCTCAAGAGGTAAAGTTAAGTGCTTGCGGTATTCTGATGTGTTACAGTTACTGTCTACATAACTAGGCATGTGATAGGATGCATAGAACTGCTGCGTGGTAATGTTGGATGCCCTGAACCTGCTGCTTGATACCTTTGTGAGCATTTTTTGTGCACAATCTATCTATGTTTTCCACGATAAAAAATGATATTCCTGCCAATTTTAAGACAAATACTGCAGGGAATAATACTTTTTCTTTTTCCTAACTTGTAGATTATCTTTAGAACTTCTATGCATCATTCAAGTCTTCAGTTTTTGCTTTCATAAACTGCTTTTAAAAATATTCTGTGTTAGACATTATGGGTGTAATTGAGGCCATCTCTCTCTCTCTCTCTCAAGTTTACAATATGTACTACCTTAATTAAACCCATTTATAGTGAATTGGATTTAAAAGATGCTATCTTCTCTGGTTACAGGCCTTGAGCTCGCATACCGTCAACAGCATGGCTGCATCAACAGTTGCCATGGTACAACAGCAACCACCCCCAGTGGCACAGATGTACCCACAAGTTCATGTTTCACATTATGCTAATCTCATGCCATATCGCCAATTTCTCTCACCAGTTTATGTTCCACCAATGGCTGTTCCCAGCTATTCTAACAACCCTGCGTATCCTCACCTGTCTAATGGCAACAGCTACTTGCTGATGCCTGGAGGCGGTTCGCACCTAAATGCAAACAGCCTCAAGTATGGAGTGCAGCAGTTTAAGCCTGTCCCTGCTGGAAGTCCGACGGGGTTTGGGAATTTTACTAATCCTAACGGGTATGCAATCAACTCCCCTGGTGTTGGAGGTGCCACCGGGCTAGAAGATTCATCTCGAATCAAGTACAAAGATGGCAATCTATACGTCCCAAATCCTCAGGTAAAGTCTACCGTTTTATGTAGGTACTTACATTGCTAAAATTATAATGCTCTCCAGTGGGCGATTTGCTGATAAAGAAGTTGATTTTAATCATTGAAACGAATTGCCTTGTATGAATGTGGGAGAGACGGACAGGCTTTGATGATCTCGTTTTTACTTCCACTATTAATTACAATAACATGTGGTGTTAATTTACGTTTTTAATGATTGACATGGCAGGCTGAGACATCAGAGATTTGGATTCAGAGTGCAAGGGAGCACCCAGGCATGCAATCCACTCCGTACTACAACATGCCTGCACAATCGCCGCACGGTGCTTATATGCCATCTCACGGTGCTCATGCTTCGTTCAATGCTGCAGCTCAATCTTCTCACATGCAGTTCCCAGGTTTGTACCATCCTCCTCAGCCCAGTGCAATTCCGAACCCGCACCATATGGGCCCTGCTATGGGCGCTAATGTTGGTGTTGGGGTGGGCGCAGTGGCTCCTGGGGCACAAGTTGGTGCATATCAGCAACCCCAACTGAACCACCTGAATTGGCAATCGAACTTCTGAATAAAAGAAAAGGAAAAAGAAAAATGTGAATCTAACTCCTTGGTTGTAAGGGCTGAAGCAGTGGAGGGTATAGAGAAGGGTTTCTCTCTTGTCAAAAGAAATATAACCCATTATCTTTCGTTATTTAATGAATCAAGGCATCATGCGGTGTTCCATTTTCAAAATTTCATGCGTCAACCCGAAGAGTGAAACATACATTACGCAACCGTTACACCAATGTGGCGGTATACTAAGCCTGACTCGTGCCATTGGCTTTTATTTTGTGTATGTGACATTACTCGTTAATTTGGGATATTGCCGCCTTTGTGTTCCAGTTGCAAATAATTTCATCTCCAACTGGAAGGTGCTTCTTGCTCCATCAACGTAAAGCATTGTATCGAATCAGACCCAACCCGAAAACTCTCATAAAGCTGGGTGTGGTGTGTTGGTATTTAAGGGCAATTCCGTAACGAACGTGGTGTTCTTAGAAAAAGTTCCAACTTCAACATTTTTTCTAAGAGGGTGTCGGTTGAAATTTGCTTGAACTTCGATAGGCAGTGGTGTTTAAATAGAATAACTCTTCCTTTTTTTGAAAAAAGATTTGTTCACACCCGTTTTCACCTCTCGTATACGAAATTTTCATCTTCTAGCCATTGGGACAACAAATCAAGAAAAAAACAATAATCAAAACTAAGAGGCGCAAAATGCAAAAATATTGGGCATAAATCCTTTTATTTTTATTTTTCTCTACATAAAAAATTACGGTAATAGTGGAGTGACCCGGTAGTTAGCATCTTATTCTTTAACTTATTATGTCTTGGTTTAAATTCTCCCTCAATTTTCTTAAAATTTAATTTAAAATATTGTTTGTATGGGAGGGAAAGAGGGAAAGATTGTTGATAATTTAGTATGGCTTTTTGTCATTGTTCACTTTAAAGATCTTTTTTTAGGGGAGAGATCCTCTTCGAATCTTTCCAACCAAATCTTAGGGATCTGGAGATCTGGACTCTTGAAATTTGATACAATGATTACAATTATTATAATTTTTAGAGAGATCCTCTGTTTATAGTTGTTGAATCAAATTTTAAGAATCCTAATCTCCGAATCCCTATGATTTGGTCCCCTTTTTTGGTCGAACACTTTAAAGATCTTATAACAAAAGAAATCTTCTCATTACCTCGGGATTGCCAACCGCATGGCTTCCTTTTTTTTGTTTTGTTATATATCTCTAATGTATTGACCATTCAGTTAAAATTTGTAAAATTTGTGTATAGGATAACACTGACTAACATAGTCAGACTTGTCAGATTAAATACTTATTATATTATACAGTTTTTGTTGCTGCCCGAATAACACTTGATAAGAGTGTAATTAGTTTTTATATACAAGAATTGTCTATATCAGGTGTTTTTTTTTTTTTTTTTTTTTTTTTTTAAATGAACAAATTGTTGCAGTCCTATCGGATTGGTTTCGCACTACGGGCCTGAAGCCTCAACCCGAGCCAGTGCAGGCTGGGCTAGTCCCTCGTCTCAACCCACGCCAGCAACTGTGTTGCTGGGCTTAGCCATGACCTGCATTCCAATCAGCCAGCCCACGAGGCTAGGCTTACCCCTGTGGCCCAAAATTGAAACCCAGCCTCGGCTGAGGTTTCCACACCAGACCTGTAAGCCAGCCCATTGGGCTGGACTTGTTCCCGTATTGGTCTCGGTCCAAATCCTAGTAGCCCTACTGCTGAGCTCATTTGTCTTCGGCCCGTGGCTTGTAGCCAACCCGAGCCCAAAATGTCTATAGGGCCTTGCTGATAGGAGCATATTTAGGCGACTTACTTAGCTTGTTTTCGTGCATCTATGTTGTTAATTCATAGTTGTTTTAGTAGTTTAAGCCATTTTCGTGTGTTTTTAGGTTCATATGGCTAAGGAAGCAAAAAGATGCATTTTGGAGCATTTTGGAGCAAAATTGGGCTTGGAATGAATAGCATATGATTGGAGCCAAAGTGTTGAACGAATTTGAAGGCCTTGTATTCATTTTGGACATAAAACAAAGGGCCTAGCCCATTCTCTCTTAAACCAACCCCAAGGCCATGCATTTCCTTCCAATTCCAAAGCCCACAATCACTTCAAAAGCCATGCAAAGAACCATCCATTCCATCAAAAACAATCCATCAATTCACATGCAAAACCACCATTAACACACATGCACCCAAACAAAGCCAACCTAGCTAACCCTACATGCATTCTTTATGCAACTCTTCATCATTCCACCATTCATTCTTTATTCCACAAACAAGTCACATGCATTTCCACCTTCCTACTTCATCATTTCACCACATTCTCCCTCTTTAACTCATTTCATTATTCATTCACTTTGCATTCATTCAATTCCACCCCACATGCACCCTTTATTCTTCATCATTGCAACCATGACACATTTACACCAACAAAACAACTCCCATGCCATGGCCTACTCATATTCCCATTTCCTTTCCAACATCTCACATGCATTTCCACCTTCCTACTTCATCATTTCACCACATTTTCCCTTTTATTTCCACATGCAATTCTTCATCATTACAACCACAAACACCTTAAACAAATAGCCATATACATCTCCACTCCTCCTATAAATACCCTTGCATTCATTCATTCAAAAATCATCTCATTCACAACACAACACACCACAAACACTTCCCTAGCCGTGAGTTTCTCTCCCTTAGAATCCAAAAACCATCTTCCATTTCCACCACTCCTCATCCATTTCCATAATTTCCCAACACTTCCATCCCCCCAACCAACTATCCCTAGACCTTATGCTACAATAAAGAGGAAGATAAGAGGGCCTAAACGTTCATACAATTCAAGATTGAGTTGTTGGAATGTTTAGGCGTTTCTTTGATTTCAATGTTTAATTTCAATTCTCTTTGTTTTGTACGTATGAGGAAATAAACCCCCTTTAGCTAGGGGGTGATTTGAAACTATGTTTATGTTTGTAATATGATTTGATTACTTTTAATTACGTTTCATAAGTTGTGAATTCAATTTGTTTAACTGTTTGATTGATAACCTATTTATGTATGTTTATTAAGAATGAACGCTTAATTTTCATGCATGAATTTGACGCTAGAATATAAGTAAGTTTCACGTAATAGTTATGAACTTATATTCACAAGTAGTGGAGGTTGCTTATAAACAATCGCGTTAAACATATTCTTGGCATAAGTTTCATGCAATCATAGTAACGAATGCCTCGTCAACACTTATAGTTTTCATGTTGCTTAATGATTCTTGCTTGTATCTCTATTATGCAATTCATGTAGGGAACTTGTGAGGAATGCTTTGGATTGTCGTATGCAATCATCCAATTCATTAACTTAAGGAAAACTTGACGGTTAATTTAAGCGGACCTAATTAACCCGGGGCGTTGAGAATTCATGGTTTATTGAAAAGCAATTAGACATCGTTTTGTATGCAAGTATAACATATGTGGAGATGAACCCCTTAGCTAGCTTCCCATCCATTCATTTCCGTCAAATCCATATTTACAATTTGTTTTGTTTCCAAGTTTCCATTTTTAGTTTAAAGTCATCCAAATCCAATCCCCCTTTACTTTATTGTTCAATTTAGTTAGAAATCAATTTAGTTTGTGTTTTTAAAGCATTTTGAGTCTTTTGGTTTGTCTTAGTGTTTTAACGTTTAGTTTCACATTCTTTGAGTCTAATTTAGTGTTTTATCTTGTTTTTACGTTTTTGAGTCAGTTTCCAAGAGATTAACAATCCCTCCTAATCCCCGGTCCAGAACGATCCCTACTTATACTTATACTACAATTGACAAAAAGAGGGTTTAATTTGTGTGCGTATAAAACTCGCATCACTTGCCTTACTCACGACACCTATGCCCATCGTGTTTGGGCTACGGATTTTTGAATCCAATGCTAATTTTTAGCATTCTAAATCAATTTAACCTGAATCTTATAATTATTTTTGCTTCTACGATCGACCTCGAAGGGTCTTAATCTATTGAATTAATTAAAGTGACCAGCAATCCACTAATCTGACAATTAATCCAAAATTATTGGCCTAAAGCTCACTTTTTGGCATTAATATTCAATAAATTATTTCGTCACTTTGATTCGTTGACTCTCTTTCGTAGTCCCGAAGCACTCACACTTAGGTTCCTAAAGCAATCCACAAATCCACTACACTTTATTGTATATTGTATTATGTGTTCTTGTAGGTACCCCTATATATGAACTAAACATTCATAACTAAATCGAACCTGTAGTTTCGAATTTAGTACCTTTGAAACCCGAAGTTTTCATTCAAAACTTACCACATGAAACCTGTAGTTTTCATGCATAAATTAAACCAATACATGTCTATAGAACCCGAACATTCTACAATGTACGTCTATGGTTTTGCATATGACTACCCACGTTTTGTTGTACCCTCTGTTTAGGGACATGTCGAACTTGAACAAGCTTAATTTCACCGCTCTGGAAGTCTCCGAAAGAAACTACCTGAAGTGTGTTCAAGATGTGACGCTCCACCACACTACAAAGAGTCTTAGAGTTACCATCAAGGAACCAATTGCCGATGCATTCGTCGATGAAGCTCAGAAAGCTACTTCTATGATCTTCATCCGAAGACATATCCATGATGCATTGCAGACAGAGTACCTTGCAGAAGAGGATTCCCGTACCCTCTAGCTCACTCTGGCGGATCGCTTTGATCACCAGAAAAACATTTTCTTGCCTGAAGCAAGACACGACTGGCAGCATTTACGCTTCCAAGACTTTAAGTCTATGAATGAATACAACTCTGAAGTTGTAAAATCCGATCACTGCTTAAGTTTTGTAATGATGACTTAACTGAATAGGATTTTCTGGAGAAGAACTATTCGACCTTTAATGCCACCAATATTGTTCTACAACAATAATATAGGGCACAGAAGTTCACCGAAATTTCGGATTTGATATATGTTCTACTTCTTGCTGAAAAACAGAACCATCCTTTGACGAAGAATCATTAAGCTCAACCTATCGGCTCGAACGTCGCGCCTGAAGTGCACGTGACAACTTTGAACAGCCATAATCGACGAAGATACCGTCGTGGCCGTGAGAAAGGGAGGCAAGCTCGACCACGGGCCCAAGGTTCACTGAACAGAGGCTCATCCAAGAGAGGAAACTTGAC